ACAGTTTGCTCTCCCTTCTGAAGAACAGGAACCTGCTCCCACAGATGTAACTATCTTTTTGTTAAGTCCAGTTCTGAAAGACTGTGGATGATTACTTCTTCAGATCTTTCCTTTGGTACTGCCCCATCAGGATTTTAAAGGGCATAACCAGACGTGACATTATTCTGTATCTTTTCCTTGGTCCACATGTACCTTTGTTTGTGCCCATAAGATATGGGCTGTCCCACCCATATTTGCAGGTACCATCATGTTCTGCTTTTTGGAGTACCAGCATGGGAATTTTATAATCTAGACTGCTATTCCCTGATTCCTTGCAGTTTTGAGCATGCTCCTTATCTCCTTCAAAATAAGGGGCTTGTTATTTTTGCTGTTGCCATATGTCCACAAGGTGGCATCAATAGAAATATCCATTGTGGTGTGTTTGAGTTTAATCATACATTGTCGGCTGCTAATTTTGGCCTGTTGTGCATTCTCAGTTTACTGCAGAGAAGCCGAGCAGTCAAGCCTTTAAGCTTGACTTTGGATTCTGTGTCTGCTGTATGCACTATTCTTTTTTCTCTGGTGTATTTATTCTCCAGGTACAACCAAAAAACACAGTTTTTCTTAATTGGGGTGGGATCGTTGCTTGTGATGTGTGGGGGGATGGTGTCCAAAGGGTTTTTTTTTTTAAATTTATGCAGTGGCCCTAACGCAGCTGCGCAATAGCGTCCAGCAAGCACTTTCCTTTTAAATCCTTGTGGTTCAGGTTTTGCTAAAGCATTTTAGCATTAGTTGGTTAAATGAAAGGGAACAGAAAGGAACACAGCAAAGTGGAAAACCCACTGTTGAAACTGACCAGACTTTTTCTGAAATTGACAAGCAGCTGCAAAGCTCTTTTCCATATTGCTGAGCACTGGGGGATTCTCTACTGCGTTATCAGCCACTGTGAAAAAATGAGGAAAAGTCACACAATCTCGTAATATGGGGGAACATGTTGAGTGTACAGAATGCACGGTAGAACCCACTGACATTGGCATTGCAAGCTGTGACTGTTGGCAACGCCTGTGCAAATTCAGCTGCAACTCCACCAGTGTTCCCTCTAAGCTGAGTTAGTGTGAGCTAGCTCACAATTTTTTAGCCTCTGGCTCACACATTTTTGTCTTAGCTCAGGAAAGAGGGCTCCAGAACAAACTAATTGATGCAGCAGCCAAATCGTCCGCTCACAACTTGAATGCCAGTCGCTCACAATATAGAATTTCTGCTCACAAGACACAGCTTAGAGGGAACATTAAACTCCACCACACTTTGCACATGGCTGCAATTTGTACAGAGGAGAAGTCCTTTGGCAGAAGCTCTGGAGAGCTTTTTTAGTCTTTTTTTGGTATTGAGAAAAAAAGCAAATTTATTTCTTGATGGTCACCGAACTGACAGAATGGGGCTGCACAGGAAGCACAATGGGGGTGGGAACACACATCACAGGATGTCCTCACTGGTCGTCTCTCCCCCGTCACTTCTCCTCCACCCACCTTCTCTGCTGGTGCCTCCTCACTGTCCTCCACCAGCTTTCCTTGCCCAATGGCCTTGTCCACGCAGTGGATGGGGACAAGCCTGAGGCAGGTGCAGACCCTGGGTGTGGAGCTGCCCTTCGGTGGACAAGGTGTAGGCCACAGCCTCCAGGTTGGTGGCATTGGGCAGCAGCACCTCCCAGGAGTCACAGGCACAGCAGCCATCCAGCACCTGACTGATCTCCTGCTTGGCCACCTTTAGTCTCCTGCCATCCAGCTGCAACACCACGTCCTCTGGGGAGAAGCCAGCCAGGTCCAGCAAGAGCCACATGGGGCCCTCTGGCCAGGTGCTCACCTCACCCCAGGAGCACAGTCTCTGGCCCCTCCAGCAGCAAGACCACCCTTTTAATGTTAGGCTTCCAGAGACTGCCAAAATGGTTCCCCAAAAAACTTTGCTCACTAAAGCATGAAAGGGAAAAATGTTTCCAGAGCTTTAGGCTTCCCATCCCAGTGTCTTTCTCTTTTTCCATCTCATGTCAATTTAATTCCATATGGAGGACACACACACCCCTTCATTTTGTTTGCATGCAGCACTGGAGACACTGCCATTTGCCTCCTCTCTGTCCCCCCTTTCAAGTCAATACCAGCAAGGGAATTAAACCTCACACAACTCCTTTCCACCATCATTTTAAAATTCAGCAATCTGAGACTAGCGAAAGTCTCATATTGCTAGACTCATGCTGCTTGTCAAAAAATTAACAATTTAAAAATGGGAAAATGGAGCTTATACACTGATGAAGGGGGGAGGACAGTGGAAGGTGCAGAGTAAGAGGAACAACCTCAGTGTGGGTTTACATCCCTCTCCTCTCCACCATTTTATCCTCAGAAGAACCCTGTGTACAGGGATGGACTGGGGGTGATACAGTGGGACAGGTGTTGCTTTCATGGTTTTGCACAGGGCTTGGGCAGGCCAAGAGCTGCCTCCTTTGCTTCGTGCAGCAGGCTGGGCACCACCATCTGCTTTGGCTGGCTGGGTGCTACAGTTGCCAGCTCCCCAATGGAGGTGGGGGTTCCCCTGCTTTCTGACCCCCCGATCCACTGCCAACCAGCTGGCTGGTGGGGGAAGCCCCACCCCCAAAGAGCCCTGTCGTGGACAGCATGCCCAGCACAATGACATCACCTGGAGGTGACATCATCACACCAGGCATGTCATGCGGGGGACACTCTACCATTTGGGCAAAAACTATGGTGACCATAAAGTTTTTTACCCAAATGTTAGAGTGTCCCCTACACAATGTGTCCAGTGTGATGACATCACTTCTGGGTGACATCATTGCAGCGTCTGTGCTTCGCATGCATGCCAGAAGACTCTAGGGGCCGGGCTGGAAACCCCCCCCCCCCCGGGAAACCAGGTAAGACCTGGCAGCCCTACTGGGTGCCAGCTCTCTTACCTTACCTTGTGTGGGCTGGGCTGGCCACCACTTCTTCCATTGCCTCCCATGGACCAGGGCAGGCCAGATGCCATGACCCTGGTTTTCCTTGTATGGACCAGAACAGGCCAGGCACCATCTTCTCCACCTTGCCGCACATGGGGCATAGTTGGGCCAGTCACTGCCTCCCCCGCTTTGCCACAGACAGACTGGCTGCCCCTTCCCCTTCCAAAGAGGGCTGTGCACCACCTCATCCTTATTGCCTTGCATGGGGCATGGGCAGGCTAGCCAGTGGCACTACCACCCCACCTTATGTCAGGCAAGCTGGCTGCTGTCTCCTTTGCCTTTCATGGGGCTCAGGTGGGCCAGGTTCAGCCCTTGGTGTCATTGAGCTGGCTTAGCCCAGGTGAGGGAGGAGGCCATTCGTCCACCAGGAGGGGTTGCAGTGCTCTTAATGACGAAGCCTGGCAACCAGCAGGTGGTCTGGGGGTCTGGACATGGTGGGTGACATTGATGATGTCACCTATATTGCTGTTGGCACACAATGGAGTTTGCCAGCAGAAGGCTTCCCGCTATAGCGAGAAGCCTGGCAAGCCTAGTTTCAAGGTCCTAGTCTGAAACTCCAACCACTACACCACACTGGCCTTTATGTTAATTAGCAAACAACCAGGCCTGAAAAGAACCCTGCCCCTGCCTTTTACTGACAGAAACCAAGGTTGGAAGGCTGGCAAAATTTTTGTGGTTGACTAGCAACAGCCATGGAGGACATCTGTTTTTTAAAGGTACAGATGCTCCTTTTATCATTTTGGGTTCCTCACCAAATTTTCATTCATTTATTTATAGATTTCAGAATTTTCTGCAAAACTGGGGCATTTCTGCCTTGTATGCTTATGGTTCCAATCTCCAGATTTAAGTATCCTCAGATCTGGCCTGGTTGAAAATTAAATATATTGCCAAGTGATGGACTCACAAGGACTTGTGGGGAGTATCTAATTTTCACTCCTGTCAAGGAAAACTGGACCTCCAGTTCCATTCCTTTTTCTTTCGTTAAAATGTTAGTTCAGGCTCCACATCAAAACTTAGGGGGAAGAGATCAAAGGGAAACATCTGGGGTTTATCATGAGAAAGTTGACAGGTCTGATTTGGTGCCTTTGAATAACAGTGACAAGGAGGCACACCATTTGGTCATTCTGAAGGGCTGTGGTGCCAACACACACCTCACCTCTTTCTTTGACGCTTTGATTTATACTATAGAGTGAATCATCCTGTCATAAATTGCTTCTCTGCTGAACCATCTGTTGTCACAGATCTATATAAAAGTTAACTTCAGCCCTGGTCACACAGAGCATTTGCTGCGCTGAAGGCACGATTCTCCCACAGAGTTTTCTGGCGTGATCACACCGGAACATCTGGGAAGCATAACGCTCCCATGGTGAACCCGTGGTGTCCCACCGAAGATGCACATTAAAAAAGTACCTGGGATGACCTACTGGCAAATGGTTTGCCACGGGCTGCATGCGGATTCCCCCGGTGTGATCGTGCCAGCGCGCAGCTTTCTCCCCTGTCGTCCTGTTTGCCGTGGGTGCCAAAG